CGTCGCACAATCGCAAAAAGCGGGAGACGTTCAGCTGCTTCGGAATGGTTGGACTCTGGTTCAGAGCCAAGCTGTGCACCGGCCGGGCTCGACTCTCGGTCAGATCTCTGACGGTTGCTTCCCGCAAAACGAGGAGTCAAGAGAGCTTATCTCGATTTTAATATCCCGAATTTTTTGTGCCAATTTTGAAAGCTCTTTGCTATACAGAGCACAAATAATAATGATAAGAAACTTATTGATGCTGTAATGCTATAGATAAAGGTCTTTTGCTGTAGATTGGCAGTGAGCTCCGGGCTGAGACGGGACTCCCGTACACTTTTGGGTATGAATCGGGTTGGTGTTGGCAGCTTCACACTACGACCATGAGATACGCGTCGTATCTCAACGCAGCCTGTTGCCGCCAGGCTCCAAACCGTGGCTCTGCTCAATGGCCCACCACAAACTGATGTAAACGGTTCGATCAGAGGATCGTTCAGGCACAACAGTGGCGGATTTATCCCTGTGTAATTCCGTTGTTGCGATCGACATGCTAACGGTAACAGCTTCAGGCCTTACTGTACCCAGCAGGGCCCCACAGACTACCTGGATTGGTCTAGTGGTTGCATGGTTCTGCCACTAGAGTGTGCCTCGCATCGGTCTTTTTGGATCTCGTTGTAGCTGCGCGCTTGCCTTAGGGGCATTTTTAGAGCGGCGAAGGACACGGGCGTGCAGATTCCGACGCGTCGCCCCTGTCACCCAACTGGCGGCGAAAACGCCGCCGCACGAGGGCAGGCGTAAAACAATCGCCTAGCCTGCAGGCCTAGTCCGTACCAACGGATCTACCACTAGCGGCAGAGTTGGATTATACGAGGAAATGTTGCCCATCCTTCTAGATGAACCTAATAAAAGATAAATTACTTTTTATTTTATTTTTATTTTTATTTCTATTTTACTAACATTTTTTATTAGTTTTATAAGAATAAACGCAGGCCCTAAGAGCAGGCAGATCTTTTTGAGCTATGGCCACGCGATTAAGCAGTGCCCATAACGTGTGTTGATAGGGCGAACGAGGAGACGACAGTGTAAAGCAGTGGCCGCAGCGCTGTAGGAAGGTAGATACATATAGAAAATGAGTGTAAACGAGTTATACGAAATTATTAGGTAATACGTTCTTTCCTTTTAATATATCTAGGTCCGACTTACTCGCTTATGCTCGCTTCTCCGACTTTTTCTGTAGAGTACGTGTGGATGCTAGCGCGAAGGCGAATCAGTCTATTACTAGTAAGCTGTTAGACGCACCTCCGAAAATTTTCCTAACGCATGTAGGCACGTTACTACGCAGGCGTAAGCGTGAAACATTGAGTCCTCGCGTAATCTTGGTCGTTTTCATAGAGCTAGGGCCGCAATAGACGGGTTATGGACTCTGCCACAGCAAGTAGGACGCGGTGAGATAAAAGCGACGATAGTGAGGTTAGCGCGTGGGTCGGCGGAACATAACACATTTCCTAGGAGAAAGAAGCATTAGTGGCTGGGTGCGAAGCGCGTGAGCGTCACAGAGGTAACAGGGTCGAGCAACGCAGGGCACCACCCTGGCAGGCGGTATTTAGACTAAAAATTATAAACGAGTCAGATTATACATCTAAAAATCATACTATTTTAAGTTTATTCTAATTTGCCATCAAGCTGCTCCAGTCGCTCATGTATTCTGTCTTTTGCCTGGCCCTCTTTAGCATAGTGTAGCTACATACATAAGGACAAACGGCGCCCAGGCCAGGAAGCCCACAAGCGACCAAAACAACCGGTTAGGAATAGGCTGAGTAAGGCGTTCACAAACCATCAGTCCAAAAGCACCTAGCCACAAAAGTATAGAAGCATAAGTGCATAAAAGGACAAGTGAATAAAAGGATAAGTGTAGAAAAGAACAAAAGTGCAGAAAAGAACAAAAGTGTAGAAAAGAATAAAAGTGTAGAAAAGGACTAGTTATAAAAGCATAAAGGCACAAGTGTAGAGGCTACACCGGCAGCAACCGGATGGCAGGAAAGCTACTAGCCGCCAACCGGCCGTCAAGAAGCTTGGACAGAACAGCACAAACCGCCCCAGACCAGTAACGATGGGCGGGAACTGACACAGCCAGAAAGCCACTCATGGACGTTTGGATCGAGAGAGAAGGGTGGAACGGAAGGCGCCAAAAGAGGAACAGAGAGCAGCAATAGATACAGCGAAGGCCTAAGGCTGCCACACATCAGCAATAGGGAAGGAAGCCACAAGCTACCACGTAGTTAGTTGGCAGAAAATGGCTGCGCAAAGGACACAGTGATTCGAGACCAAAAGGGCTTCCATGGCTGAGACAGCCTCTAAGTTCAAATGCAAGTGCGAGAAGTAATGGACATAGATGCAAATGGACGAGCAAGAATAAGCCACACAGTACTAGCGACACTCCCCTGCCCAGAGGGGTAAGAAGGCTGAAATCAATAAGAGGATAAGCTAGGGGAGACAAAGTGAGGAAAGTTAATAGCAAGAGCACTAACGTGTTACGAATACTACAGGCATACATGTGGGGGCTAAGTGAGGTAGGATAAGGCTTATTATACTAGCGCCTAAAAGGGATAAGAGGTTATAGAACCTCCTTAGGATTAAAGACTTAAGCTATTAAACTATTAATCTAAGAAGTAAGATCTAAAGGATTAAAGACTAAGTCTATTAATCTAAATAATAAAGAATAGAATAAATATATAAAGAAGGGGATTTTTAATAAATAGTTAGACTAGATCTCTGCTAATGAATCTAAATAATAGCTCTACTATTAGGAGATATCTCTTAATATAACTTATACTGTAATAACTACTTATTTATACTTTATATACTTAAACTAACTCTCTTCTTAAAAAATAGACTAACTATAGATTAGGATTAAGCTACTATTATATAATAACACTTTAGAGTATAATTTTAGTAATAAAAGGCGGTTAAACTAAAAAAAGAAATAAGTAAAATAAGTTAATAATAGCTAGATAGTGGCCTAGATCTTATACTAAGAGGCTTAAGTTTTATCTATAAGTCGAATACTACAAGTAATAAAAGAATTAAATACAGTAATATAATAATACGATTATATAGCTAATACACACTAGAAATACCTAGTCTAGAGTAGGCTACTATATTAACTTTTCTTTATTAACGTTCCTTATATATTTACTTTTGCCTAATATAATGGCCTTCGCGCTAGCTACTAGGTAGTAATAGCATCCAGCCGTAGAAGCCTAGCCGCGGCATCGCCCGTGGTGCTAAATGAATATGCTAACACGCCGGACTATTTAAGGATCCACAGATGCCAATAAATGTAGGATCCACAGATGCCAATAAATGTAGAACCTGTGCCATGAGGTAGAACCAGAGGGACAATTTTGACGCCACATGCGGGCTCCAACCATGGCGAGACTCTTCCGACTTTGAACCTTTCGCCTGGGCGTCCTTCGTACAGAGCAAGGAGCGTAGTCAGCCTAGGCAGGCTTGTCCCACTTAATAAATGGCCGGCGACAGCGGCCAGCGACAGCTGCCCTGGTTCGGCCTCCACGCTCTGCGCAATGTAGAACGGCACAGTACATTAGCCGCTCTCACTAGCCAGAGGCGCGTAGGCCTACAACTCGTAGCTCCTAGGACAATATAAATATAAACGATAAATTACTATAGTTGTCTATAAGTAACACTATCTACTCCGTATAGTAAGAGAATTAAGATGTAGGAGAGGGGATTTAAGAGAATCGAGTTAAGGAGAGGATTAATAGAAGGAGATATAAGGGAATTAAGAATAATTACAAGGTTAGTGTGTTACTTATAGAAGATTAGAACACCTTAAATTCAGTATTGTACTATAGCTTCCTACACTCCTTAGTCTAAGAAATAATGAACATTCTTTCTAACTAGTGTAGGTATCTAGAAGAGGAATTTAATTCCACACTTTAGTAGGACGGCTACCTAAAAAAAGAACCCTATAGTTCGTAGAGAAGAGTAGAAACCAGTCGATAGTAGTAGGTACCTAGTAGGCGAGAGTCTTTTTTATCCGTCCACTATTAAGTATATTATGTAGGCAGGTTGTTAAGACCTTATAATACATGATCGATACATGCGACCGTTAATTTCCTATTGAGAGATGTTACTCTGAATAGGGACGAGCGAAGCGTAGTATAGCATAAGGTCCGCGTCGAGCGAAGCCAGGCGAGAAAAGAGGCCGAGCGCAGCGGTAATACAAAGCAAAGAAGAGAGAGAAAAAGGGCAAGTCAGATTTATTAGAGGATAGGACCTCGCGTCCAAATCAAGACAGGGCCAGTCTAGCAAAACCATGTACTAATCATCCTGTGACTAACTACTAAGCTCACCATGCGCGCCAACTAATGGCAGTAATCGCCCTTTTCTGGTTCGCACTTTTCATTTGGTGTCTCGAAAAGCGTGGAATGATCGGGATCCCGCTCGTGGCTAAGATCCCATGCTGCCTTGTCATTCGCCAACTGTATGAGTGCGCTGTAGTCTTTGCAGACGTGATTCTGGCCCCAGACAATGCTCTCTGACCAGCTACCCGTCTCGCCCTCCAGCGAAGTGTCACCCGAGCACAGGATGCTTTGACGTAGGTATTCGATACAGTGAGCAGTGTGACCGAGCTTGAATGCGTCCCATGTGGCGAACTCTTCCCTCGAAGTACCAAGTCTGGTAGTAATGATAGACTGTCTTGTTAATTACTTGTTTCTCCATGCAGTGTTTTGGGGCAGACTTACTAGACAATGCAGCTGATGAAACACTGACAGAACCCAGCCACTGCGGATATCGTCTGGAGACAGCACACCACTGATGTCTGCGGCGGGAAACTGAATCTGGTACTCGGCGCTGTTCTCATCTGCCAAAAAGTAACCGCGACTAACTGTAGAGCTGTGAGCCTGGTGCCGAGGAAGACTCGACGAATACATACTCGGGTATAACTGCTGCCAGTTCTCGTGTATCTCTCGCATCCTCGTCGCGTTTAGAAGCATTTAGCGATCGGCGTAGATGATGTCAGGCCCAAAGCCAGCGTTGTTTCCGAACGTTACAACCTTTTCCGGAACTATCAAACGTGTAAGCGCGGCACAGAAGAAAGTCAACAATGAAGCAAAACTCACTTTTTGGCCCAAATGGCTTGAGCGCATGGCTGGAGAAGCCTCTATCATGGATAACGACGGACCCTAGAATTACGACAGAAACTGCGAGAACAACTTCTCCCATTAATCGTAGCAGAGGTCGTTTGGAACGGGCACGACGGACTCGGATCGTTTCGTCGGCAAGACTTACATCCTCCGAGAAAATATCCGACTCGTCACGAAACTTAGTGAGCCACTTCTCAGGCATGTTTTCAGGTGCAGTGCAAATGTTGAAAGCCCAGTCGGAATTTGTGCTGAGCCTTGAGCTTTGCTTCGATGGTAAGATTTTCGGGGTGAGTGAAACTCCCCGTGTTAGGGTCTTCGGTGAAAATAAAACTGTTTTGGCAAACATATTCTTCTACAGAGTAGCTAATGCAGGACTACGGCAAGGCTGGCTGGCACCAGGCTACTGAAAAGAGCTGCAGGAGGGCGCATGTCGTAAAGACGGGCTGCAGCGCCGACTCTCGATTAAATTGCGTTGATCCTTGCGACAACTGACGCGTACAAACTCCCAACCCACCAGCGACTGCATAAATATGCGCCACATGAGTAGCAGTCGTGCCGCCCTTTCCCAGGCGTACTCATTCACCACCTCCATCAACTCAAGAGCTGTAACCGACTAGCAAGGAAGGAATCATGACGCAAACCACTTTGCCACCATTGAATGCCGCATGGGACCCCAGCCTCGAGACACCAGACAGTGAGGAATTCTGTTGGACGCCACTGCAGCTGACTGCGAGAGCAGGTGATGTCGCCAGTATGAGGAGCATACTCGCTCAGAATCCGGCCGCCGCGAATGAACCACCGCGAGGGTACTATGGCCAAACCGCTCTTCAGGCTGCATGCATGCATGGGCATGAGCTGGCAGTGCAATTGTTAATTCACGCCGGCGCCGACATCCACTTTAGCGGAGGCAACAACCTCCAAAGGAATGCGTTGCAAATTGCGTGCGGTCATGGGGACGAGAAGATTGTCGACATGCTGCTGGCAGCCGGAGCGAGGGTGGACGAGGTCATGGATGCATCTGCAGCCGGTCTTGAGGAGCCGTCGAGGTCCCGCGTCATCGTCACGAGGTACAACGGAAGGACAGCACTTCAGGCGGCGTGCGAGCGAGGGCACATTCACCTTGTTCACCGCTTGTTGCAGATTGGTGCGGACGTGAATGCGCCGCCGTCACCAACGGCAGGGTATACCGCGCTACAGGCTGCAGCCGGTAGCGGATTCCTTGACATTGTCGAGGTGCTCTTGCAGCACGGAGCGGACGCAAATGCTGCATCCGCAAAGTACAAGGGCTTTACGGCTCTCCAGGGAGCCTGTCACGGCGGCCATGCCAAGGTCGTCGAGCTCGTGCTCAAGCAGGACGTTGACGTCCACGCACTGGGTGGAATCTATGGTGATGGCATGGCACTTCACGCGGCCGCCGAGGTGGGAAGGGTGGAAATCATCAAGATGCTACTGGCTGCTGGAGCTGATGTAGATGCGTGTAGTTTCAGACGAGGACGCGGACACAGTGCACTGCAGAGTGCAGTGGTCGGCGGTCACGAAGAAGCCGCACAGGTTCTGAGAGCTGCCGGTGCCACGGGAAGATCCGGTGGCGGGTGTTTTTTATTTTCGTAACTAGTTTATGGAACTAGATTTCAAGAAAAATTCGGCTCGTCTTGCGGCTAGGGTTAAAGAGAAACACTGAGCAAAGCGAAAGCTATGGCTGCCTTGCAAGAACAGAAGGCCTTCCCGCACCCTTTCCAAAAGCTCCAACTGTGCTCACAATGCATCTAGAGGAATAGTTTGCGAGGAATGGGGTAAACGATATCACTACTCCTCGACAGAAACAATATCCTCTTCGTTGACAGGAATGATGCCAGCCTTGACTCCTGCCCTGCTCTCGGTGGAAGCAATGTCCTCCTCCTTGACAGGGATGCTGCCAGCCTTATAGCGACAATGTCCTCTTCTTTGACGGGAATGATGCCTGGCTTCACAGGGTCGCGCTTGTAGACATCCTCAATCTGGTCGGCTACATGCTGAGAACCCAGCGGGGCAGCCAGGGCCAAAGTCTAATAGCCTAAGGTATAGACTTAATAGAGGGAGCTCCCCCTTATATATAGTAGCCACTTTATAATACCCTCTTTATTTCTTCCCTTAATAAGAGATTTAATTTAACCTTATATTAATACCTACTTATAGTAGCTATAGGGCCAGTCTTTAATAATAGATTAGGATTAAGCTACTATTAGATAAACCTCCTAAATTAATATATTAAACTTCTATCTTAATAAGAGACTATTTTAAATATAATAGACAGTAAAGAGATTTCTATCTAGGAGGTTAAGCTTAACGTTAAATAAACTGAGGACATAATGTACACACACTTCTATACTATAATACCTAGCTGGCGGACTAGGCTATACCTCTCTAGCTTATAATTAGTAAGATTACACTCTACCTTACTTATCTAGTAGTCCTTATAAGTAACTATAAAAGAGCTAATAGATTATTCTTACTAGTCCTAATTTATAGATCTACTATATATAATTATTTATTACTTAAATATCCGGCTTGGCACAGACATCCCTGACTTTATTTGTAGAAAGGATTGTTCGGCAGACAGCTTGTTATCGGCCGAGTGCTCAATGAGACTCCGTCTGCCTTGCGTGTGTGGAGAGCGGAAATGCACGTACGCATGTACGCTTTCGTCGGGGTAATGGCCGCAATTTCGACGCTTGCCGAGTTATTAAAATGCAGGCCGAAGAAAGTGGTTGCAATAAAAGATGTGCAAGTATGGCCAGGGAACCCCATGTATCTCCACACCGTCTTGCTACTTTTCGCCCTGTAGATTGTTCATGCCTACGCGCAGCTGAATAGAGAAAGCTTATGCTCGCCTCGTTTTCTTACCAGGAAGAACGGTCGCGACACGCTCAGGTACACGGCCGTCGGATAACATCAAGGTGGCACATGTGAGCAATACAATCTAGCCGACGGCAGGCTGCCTGTTATGCGATGTAATGCAGCTACTCGCCGCCGCGGCGACCCTAGCGGTCAATAAAATGCGAACTGCGCAGTGGCGTAACTAGGTGAGGATTTCTCTCACGGCTCAACGGCAAGGTGCAGAAAAGTACTCGAATTAGAGTGGCCTAGGCGGCTACATAAGGTACCAAGTGAGTGACAAAGGAGATGCTACGGAAACAAATAGAAGCTGCCAGTAAATCACCTCCTAACTACTGATGGATTAAACAGTCTGGACGCGGCAGAGCAGATTTAGGTCACTCCGAGTACACTGAAATACAAAGAGGCAGTGTTGGGTATTTTAAATGCTGTCTTAGTAAACATTAGCGCTCAAGTCCTTGGTTCGCAGAAGGAAACAGAACTTGGGCATTGCTTGGTATCTTCACAGAATCCACTTTGTGTTATCCTGAATTATCCATCGGTTGGCCTGTTTCATTATTTTTGTGACATGCAGAATAACTTGCTTACGGCAACAGGCAAGGCTGCGCATCTCCCTTCTCGCATCCACCCAAGCTCAGCTCTTTATAAAAAGTCCTCCACCAACGGCCCATCAGTCGAGGCAACGCACCAAATTTCTACTTGTCATCCTCTAACCATGGCTCTTCTGTGGTACGCTGCCACTACTCTCTCTGTCCTTGCTGCCATCCACCGTCTGTTGCAGTTCCACGCTGTCCACTCTTTCTTCGTCTCCTGCGCCTCACGAACAGACACGCGCCACCAAACCACATTCAAGAGTTCGGGGCGCCATCTCATTCCAGATAAGACAGTTCCTGCCTCTGAAGCACCAGGATCTATCATCTTTGAGTTTGAAAAAGATGGCGATGGCCTCCTCGTTCAAGTCCCCGTCAGAAGCTGGTGGCGCACGGTGACAGCTCGCCACCGTACGCAGGCTATGTGCAGAGAAGTCGACTTAATCAGCGGCGATTGGGCTATCCGTGGATTCTATGCAAGCACACCTGTGAGGGGTCCACCAGAAAAGCCAAATCTCTGGTACGACATTCAGGTCATGTATGGCCCAGCAGCGAGACTCTGTCAACTCCGCCGTTCAGGCTCAGAGAGAGCATGGCAGCTGGACCACATGATTCTAAGTGTAGTTCAAGATGCGGCAGTGTATTTCAAATTATGTTCTACACCGGTCTGGCTCCGCCTAGTTTACGCTGCCGCCAATGTCATTTCTCCACTTGCTGCCGACGCGCTCACCCGTCGCCTTCTGTGGATTCAGATCCGCACCATGTTCTTTTGCCACGATACGTGGGAGTATCGTGGACGATGTAGGATCTTCCGGACCATCTGGCCATTCTTCAATGAGCCAGAATGGGTACGCAGGTTTGAATTGTGGAGCGAAGAGTACATGTCGACGCAGTTTCTGCGCTTCAATTATTGGCTTGGATATGTATTTCTGGGAATGAAACCCGAGTATCCTGGATACAAGATGAATACATCTAGAAATTGAATGATCTTTTTAATACAAAATAAATAATACTCTTTAAAGTTTCACATGGCTTTAGGTAAGTGGCTAGGATGTTAGTGTGACGCTGTGTGTAAGGTTTCCTGCATTAGCTCCTTATGTCTCATGCATATAGCAGCCTATAGGTGAGTGTTCACTAAACCCCTTATATAGAGTTAAGTGTATAATAGTATATATATAAGCGTATATAACTACTTTTTAAATATATAATATTCTTATAGTATATATTTCTATATATATATAGTAAAGTAAGTAGTCTAGTTAGTGTATTTAACTTCCTCTTTTATACTATACTTTATATAAACCTAGATTCTTTTACTCTAGTTATTAATTTTATTAAACCC